GCTCAAAACGAGACAGTCGCGGGGTTCATTTATTATGAAGCATTTGCTATTCTCAGCCCATTTTGCAATATAATGTGCTTAAGCAAATAATATATGAGGAAACGAGCAAATTAATATCGCGGTCGGTTCACAGACGACGTCGGTTTTAAATAAAGTACCTACTTAGATGGTTTTTGGGACATAAATTATAATTCAGCCCGGTACGTATATAATTGACGCAAGATATTCAGTATGGTGATGGTCGACAAAAATGAAGTGGAGAGTAAAATGATTGCTCACTAAAATGAATTTTAGGTTCTGTTGTTTTATTATTTTTCAGCTGTACTATGAATGAAAACATATTATTACGAGTGTTATTTATTTAATTTATTTAATTATTCTCCATAAGATTGCATGTGCTCAAATAACGAGTCTCGAGTCTGGTTTTGTCTGGAATTGGTTGACCTGTTGAACTTGCTGTTAACTTCTCTTTCCACAATGGTTTTGGTTGGAAAGGGTCCTAATTGCAGTAGACACTTGTGACGTTCCTTCACATCACGAAACAAACAATATCCGGATGATAACCAGCAAAACCTCAATGTTATTAATACATTTTTATGATTTCAATGGGTACTATAATATCGAGTAGGGCCAGTTTAATATCATTAAGGAGTTTTGGAGACTAAAAACATCACGTAGTTTGAAACTTTATAGTTGTTTCAACAACCTGGTGCGATCTATCTGGGGTTATCCTTTATTATTTTTCTGGAGGATTATTATCCATTATCAAAATTCGAGGAAGTGTCGTGAACGTTTTATGTATTTACTCATATTGTGGGAATGCGGAAGGCTGTAAGCTTGTTCTTGCTTCAAAAAGTTAATTTGGCATTCCAAACTTTGAAATCAATTTTCCCCCTATATTCCCTGAAGTATCAGTTTTTGGTAATCGAATATTATCAGCGTCACCGATATGCAACTTTTCTTAATTAGCGGCAACCCCGTATCTGTTACTAATCGCATAGATGTGAGTTGAATAATAAACATCCTGTATAAGTGCTGTTACAGTATTAACTACACCGACGATATTAAGAATCTGGTGTCATCTTGTCGATGAAGTACCCACTGGGAATTGTTTTTCCCAGCGCCCCATCTAATGTATCTCCGATTACATTTACATTTTATCCGGGCTTCGGAGTACATGTAAAATTATGCAAACAAGAGATCAGCCGGCCGACTTTGTAAATTTGAAAAATATTTTCAAAGTTTCAACAAAACCGGCGACCCCGGAAATATTGTACATGAATACTAATGAAGATTTTAGGCTAACAGTAATTAGGAGAGTCGGAGCAAGTAGTAGTCTGTCGGTTCTATAACCAATCCCAGGAGGAAACGTGTAAATGCAATGCTAATTTCCCCTTTGTAAACGGCTTGCTAAGTTGGCAGTGCCTCTGAATACATCATTAATTCACTTACTCCCATTTCCATGTTTGTATTTCTTGGCAACTGCAAACTGTCTTTGTATGGACTAATTACGCGACCCATTCATAATGCGCAAGACGGGGACCGAAGAAATTTTCCAGGAAATTTTATTTCCAATTCGGTGACGCAATAGGATAATTCCGTTTCTGCTTGTTTTTTAGTTTTTATTTCGTCAATTAGCTACATTTGTTTCATTCATAGCGTTGTCAACTCCCACCGCAATTTCTGAAAATCGTGGGAACCAATGATGTCAAAGAAGATTGGCAAATTTTGTAATAGAAAAAGACAGTTAGAGATGGGAAATCTTGTCTTTCTCTTGCTTATTTATATGAATGGGAGATTATTTGGGAATCAAACAATATTTTTATTTTAATATTTGCAAAAAATGAAATTTACTATAATCTAGCTTCTTAAAAAATCCTCGAAAGAGACTTATACAAATTGATGTACAATTGAAAATATTTCTCTTTGTAACGTTTTAAAAAAGGCTTAAAATAATTACACACGTATCCATCTCAATATATACTCTAATATCTTTTTTATTTTTTGATAAAAGGAAAAATGTTTAATTTTCCTTATATTTTTTTATGGCAACTAAACTAATAGATAAAGAATAGCAAAAATCTTTTTTAATTTATTTTAATAATAGGGTTCGTTTCATAAAAATATTGTTGTTCTTGTTATCATATGTTACTTTACATATAATAATTTGTAAGATCATCAGATCAGATCATGCAATATGCAATAACTCTAAACGCTTTACTTACCCAAAAAAATCAACACAAGGATTTACTTTAATTACTTTAATAAAATCACTGAGTCAAGACCAAATACCTGTTAACAATGATTCAGGTAGAAAGATTAACAAATAAACACAGATAATCTCTTATTGCAGTGATCTGCCATTAGTCTTAACGTGTATGACACAACATTCCTCATTACTACTCGTTTCGCTATAAATAAAATTTATTTTGGATAGTTGAGGTTCACTGCAATCAGCCTTTTTATAAATGAAAAGCAAACATGTTTGTTCTTTTGTTCTGATCGATTTTATCGGTATCTTATATTAATATCTAAAATATTTACCATATTTTTTTTTTCAGTACAAGGTTTTCTTAGACACCGAATTTAATTAGTTTGAACTTCTACATTCAAATTTAGTACCCCGATAAAAAGGAGAGAGAGAAAAATGGTTCTGAGCTTGCTATTTGAACATGTTTTACTATGAATCAATCAAATTAATTTATTATTATTTTCATTAAAATTCGTTTTTAAGAAATGTAAGAGCAAGCGTGACACCAACTCTCAGTCAAAACTAAAAAAAATAGAGCCCCTAGGTAGCATTGCAAGTTTCATCTGAAAAACACGAGTTTTTGCTCCGTGCGTCGCAACGCTAAAATTTTTGGCAATATCACAGGGAACCTAGGCATATATTTGATACTCGAGTTTTCCCCTATAGACCTAAAACATTTTTTTATTAGTTACTAGTGCATTATGTTTCCTAAATTAAATATCTTCATTCATTGCTGACAATCTAATAAATTAAACGGTGTTGCTGTTTGAGACATAACGTCATTTGCCGGTTATTCCAACTTTACTATATAGTCTAACTTTACTACACAAAAGTCAACTTGTAGTTTAAGCGTTGGTAATACCAGAATACTTTAAAGAAATTATAGATTGACTTTTGTTACTTACGATTAATTACAATTTACAATTACAAAGAATTATGCTATCGAGTGCAATATGAAGCAATTACTTATTGTTTACCTAATGGGGGATCTCTCCATACAAGGCAACCTGTTTGGCCGGGACAGCAGCAAAGTTTAACCGTAACTCACGTCGAACATAGAACGGACCTAATTGTACATTAATGGCGTTTTAATTATTCTTTGGTAAACTCCCTCCATAATTAATTTGTGATGCCCCTGCACAAGATCCCAATTTGCTAAGGAATCCCAATTAACCATACCAGAAACATAATATATGTAACAGTGTAACGCAACGTTGAAATTCTGTGAATCTGTTAGGCTATATACATGGTCTATTGTATTAATTATTAATATAGCGCGAAATAATAATTATCACTTCGAAACAATCGATTCTATCAATATAAATTATATTTTGGATCGCAAAGAAAACAATCACAACTAGATTTATCTTATATTTAATTAATCGGCTTTGATTAGTACCAACGATTTGTGGAATCTGATGCGCTTATAAGTTAATCTATCATTTCTTAAAGAAAAATATACAATGGAAAATAAGGACAAAGATGCCTTTGCATTAAATTATACTCATACGGTAGAACGTTATTTCGTTATTTCCGTGATATGGGGTACGGTAATTTTATTTTCCCTTGCCTTTTCTCCATTTAAACGAAATTACACGAAATATGTAAGGCAAAATTGAACAATTTTTTATCTCCGCCGAAAAATTGCGGGATTGCTTAAGGGATTTTTACCGCCTGTTAATATTTTGTTACGGAACCAGCGTAGATATTTGCTTCAAGCACTAGAGCATATTTACCTGTCCTCGGAAGTGAAAATGCGCTTTCTTTCTTCTTTTGAATATGTTGGACGCATTCAAACGGATTGTTCTATTCGACAAGGTTATACCTAATGTAGCTCACAGGTTTGATCACACCAAATTCATACGACAACGTTGAATTGAAATAATTTGAAATTTATGGCCAGGTTGTGGCTAGACCGATTTCATTGAGATATCTAGTGGATATCTGAATTGAAAACCTTAGCGTTAACGAAACGAATGGTGAAAAAATAGGGATAGTATTGGAAATGGATAATCTTTAAAAAAATGAAACACTGATATCCGTAAGTTGGCTGCAATATGCAATAGAAACGATAACCAAATGAGCAGGACGTGTTACTAGGATGAAACTCAATTGATGAATTGAATATGTCATGCGATGTTGAAGTGAAATGATCAATTTATTAAAATGATTATCTCGAAATTTACATCACAAACTTTATTTAATCCCTTAATGTATTTTATTATTATTTATTTATTTGTGAACGAGAGAAGCCCAATTATAATATGCGTAACAATTTTCGACTAACAAAAAAAGACAAATGGGAATTATTAATAATAATAACCGAAATTCATAGCAATGAACAAAATAAAATACAAAATGATGGTCAGTAACCAGTAGGTCAGGTTAAAGCGATATAGATAATATCGCGATGTATTAATACTATTGAAGAAAAGGTGGTACCGTGCAAAATAGTCAATAAAACTATTTTGGATTTTCTAGCAGTTCTAAAAATGAGATTATTGATTTTGCATTTTGTTTTTGTAAAATATAAAGTTATATTACCACATAATTTCTAATGTTTTTGGGTACTTTCCCGAAATTTATTTTCGGTACGTAAATGCGTGGCTAAACTACTATACTAAAATACTAAATAAAGTATATATTCAGGAAACCCTTATATATGTACAATATCAATTATTTTTCCTCTCCCAATTTTCTTTTTATATTTGAACATTATAGATTTACACCGTAATCTGTTTTATTTCAGCCACCCAAAGCGCTGGATCGGGTCTCAAATGGGTTAGAGTCAACGTACCCCAATACAGGGTGCCGGGTGAGACCGCAATGCTCCAGTGCGACTACGACTTAGGAAATGACACCCTTTACTCGGTGAAATGGTACAAGGAACACGAAGAATTCTACCGATATGTTCCGAAAGCTAGACCGCAGGCTAACTGGTACAAAGTAGAAGGAGTGCATGTAGACGTAAGTTGTGTTTTTGCTTATAAACTTAATTCAGTTATTTCAGGGAGGGGTCGCAAATTAATGGACATATAAAATTTTCCGGACCCCTCCTGTTTTGACTTTTCGAACCCTAATAAGTAAATAAATTTTAATTAAGTTCAAATCCGGTATAAAACAGGAGCGTTGTGCGGACTGCTTCAGTTGGATTTTAAAAAACTCATTTATTTGCATCCAGAACGAGTAAATTTTAATAAACCCACCCCGACCGGCGTTCATTTGAAATTTCATTCTTTATTTGTCACGGAATTAGAAACAGATCGATTAACCGAGAAAATACCAGTCAAGGGGCGTTTATTTGACCTTGGCTAATAAAAAAATACTGAACGAAATTTGGGATTGTTAAATATGTTTTTCTACTCCCGTCTGTAAAATACCTAATTACACACCGATCTAGCGTGCGGAAATCGTCACTTTACCACATCAGTTTTATTTCCCACGATTCCGAGCCACTTCGGACATTTCCTGGATTTTACCGCACGGGTTTGGGAGCAATGTATGTATTCGTGTTGTTTTACAAAAACTAACGGTCGCAAAAAAATTATAGTATGCAATACGTTCGATAAACTTTTTAACTCACTCGTTTATAAAAAAACTCGCTCCGCTCGTGTCAAATAAACTCGTGAGTCAAATGCCGTTTACCGCACTTGTTGCATAATATACTATTATTGATAACTGCTTGTAACATTCTATTCATAGTAATACACCAAGTTCTTCCGTATTAGTTTTAAAAATGGTGAAGAGTGTATTTTTTAAAAGGAACACAATACATAATTGTTTGAGGAGTGATAAGTTGATAAATTTGGCATATTTATGTCGGTAGCGATGAAGTTTTTAAGCAATTCACAAAGAGGGAGTGGATTTTTTTTGTTCTATTTCAGAAAAAATGTCAGGTGAACCATCCTAGCACACCTGCTTTGTCAAATCTATTTACAGACATAAGGTACGAGAAAACATTAACATTTATGAAATATAGAATTGAATGGGAAATAAATAATTGATAATTGAATATAATCGCAATAGTACAAAGAAGCCTACTACCAGAGCCAGAAAGTTAAAGATTTTCAAAATTTTATAGCACGGAGTTATAGGCTTTTCGCAATAAATTGTATTATTTGCATATAGTATCAGGACTATACTGGGTTTGATTGAAATGACATCTTATAATCTAATTAGTGAACTGAACACTACTATGATTCCAAATCGATATTTTCTTTTGTCGACTTTATAAAAAACTATATAACTGCAATATCTACAACCCATTAGAAATATCATTTAACTACGGTAGTTGAGTCTCATACGCTCACGAGATGTGAGCACTTATTCCAAACCACACACTACATCAAATGTGATCGTAAAAATCACAGTGATAAGAGCAAAATTCTCAAGCTTAAGCAAGAAATTAAAAATATATTTCTAGACTTCTTGCTTTGTGAATTTGTATAAACTCATAAAGAAAGCTAATAGAAAAGGAAGTGGTAGATTCAGGTAGTAAATGTAGGAACCGTATTACCAGCTCCACCACTAATTTCCTGGTGCTGAAAATTATATACAAAGGACAAATGCAATATACTTTCTACTTAACTAATCGAATTTAATAAAAATATGTACGAGTTATAAAATGCATCAAATAGCAAAATAAAACTCCAAACAAAAATAATATCATCGAATAAAAACTACTTACCTATATATTTACTTATATTTTTAATGTTTAAACTTTCATTAGTCGTTAGTTGGTTGTTTATATGAAAGAAGTAAGCTAGATTATAACAAAATACTTTCCCTTATTTTTAAAGTAATATAAACATATAACAAAATCCCTTATTTTTAAATTAATATAAACATATAACAAAAACAACTAAACGTTCTCTGTTTCCTTTCTACTATCCTAACGCAGCTGGTGCAGATAAACATGGATGCCCATATACATATAAGTCGGAACTCGATTTGTGCAAATTTGAAGCGTCTTAGTTTCCGCTAGCGGCCAGTCTAAATGCAACACCAATTATTCACGTCCGTAATGCTAATTATTTTAAAAAGAACAACAAAAGACTTACCATCATAAATTTTCGTCAAAGTTCAAAGTATCATTTAAAGTGCTTCGCAGGCTGACATTTTCCGGACCATTGACCAGTCAACTATTCAGCGGACAATTGATTGAAGTAGTTTTAGAGGCCGCAACTCTATCTCATATAATAATATTACGACGTCCTATGTGTGCTTTCATGACTCACTCTTTCCCATTTGATAGTTTCATTCACAGCTCAACCGTCCTGTGTATACCCAGCATGTTAAAACGGCCGAGGAAATTCGATAAATGTTGGTGTCTTGAAATATTCCAATATTTTTTCAGTAACTCTTATAATTTAGTACACGTTTTTAAGAAATCTTGATATATATGGAAACGATTACTTTTCGTTTTTATCCGGTATATATATTTTAAGGTAAATGTAAAGAACAAATGGCATTTTTGTAATTATAACTGTTTGTTTTGATGCTTTGCAATTTAAATTAGAAAACCATTATGTGTTCGTAAAATCTGATCGGCATTTTGTTTTATTGAAGGTCGCATTTAAATTTTCAGACCTACATTCGGGTTTTTTAAAACATTGCTTAACATAGACAAAGACGAATCGAATCAGAGAAGCCACTAAGTTAAAAGTCCAACAATAATTTGTACAAGGTCTAATTCACACGGACACATATCACGAACAAAACGTCAAGAATTTATTATGGAAATTTTTTCAATTATATTTGTTCAGAAGAGAAGTGAAAAACTTGGGTCAATACTATGGAGCGCTATAAACCAGAGGTAACCTGCTTCCAGTTGTTACCCCAAGCCCTAACGGCTCTGCTAGGGACGTTTCATGCAACATTAAGGTTGGCGTGACTCGTCACTGAAAAGGACCCTATTTAACTGCCTTGAGCTTTAATTTTTGGTTAGTTATATGTCATAAGAGTCATAAGTCATAGTTTTATTGCGAAAAAGGAGGGAATCTGAATCAAGCTTTAAACTGTAGAGGGTTTTTACTGAAGCTACATCACGCCGATTGCCAAAAAACTAAAAACCGGCGAAACGTTTCAAAGAATCGAATTCGAGAATTAACGTTACATGTTTGAATAACGACTTTAATTTCCAGTTACCTGCGTTATGCATCGGTGACGTTTTGAAGCGTCGAGATGTGTTAAAATGCGGAGCACCATGGCGGCAAGAATAATAATTTGCTGCGATCGGCTAAATGTGACCCGAGCCAAGAAAACTCCCATCGATTTAGTCGCGAGTAAGCGATATCGAAATTGTTTAATACCCAATCTTCGGCGTACAGGTTATTGACGAAGGGATTGCGAATTTTCCCGAGTTCCACGAAGTTTTCTCCCAAGCACCTTTCGCAACTTTCGGAAGTTTAATGTCGCAATATTAACGTCACAATCCACGCAAGTAATAAAGTTCGATATGGCCGTTTTGGCATACTGGTTTTATGTGCCGCTTAAATATTGACTGCCATGTTCGCTGTACTCGTCAGAAGGTGAATAACAACAACAGTTGTCATCGCAATATTCATTACGCTCTTTGAGAAATGCATGTTATTCGTACAATGACAAAACAGTCTTGTGATTATAGTGTGAAAATGCGCTCTAGGTTCGAATTTCTCATTTTCGAAAAGCTTTAGTGACCTAATTTTAAATTGAATATTGTATGCTTACATCGTTTCAGACAAATCTCATTTTTAATTATTCTATCACCTGTTTCACAATGATGAATAACGAATACAACACACACATTTTACCTAACTATAGAGGGTGTCTCCAGGTTGGTGGAATAGAAGTTTAGGGAGAGCGGGCAGTGTTATCGACGTTAAACTGAAAAATTTTACTTTTTTAATTGATGAATTAACAACTTTTTGATAATTTTGGTGTAGTATTTCCTTACACCTACATCCAGCTGGGTTCGAAATAATAATTATTTTCTTACAGTTAATAAAGTCTTTTATTAAATTGTAGAAAAAGTTTATTGTTCAAACTAAATCTAATTATTTTGACATATTTTATGACTTCCAGTATGTTCATATAATGATATGATTGTCATATGATACACTTGAAAAATTTGACAATGGTCATTGCACTGATACACAAAAAAAAATGAAAGGGATGAAGGTTACTAGAATAAATTGCTGAAGAACCTTTTTATTATCTAATGAAGGTGTGAACAGATTCAAATGGGAACCAGTAAAAAGTTTAACCATACCTGACTTACCACTCAATGATTCGAGTATTTATAGGTTATTAGAATAAATTGTTGAAGCAGCATTTTATTATCCATTGAGAGTGTAAACGGATTTAAATGGGAATCTGTAAAAAGTTTAACTATAAGTATCCTGACTTACCACGTAATGATTCCAGTATTTTAAATCCTCAGTAGTAAGACTATCCCTGTTGGCAGGGGATATTTCGAGATAACCAAATTACGATTACTAATAAAAGATTTCGGATTTAATGTCGCTACTCATTTATAGATGGCAGCACACGTAAGAGTTACAGACTCCTCACTAACCAAAAAATTCAGATAGATAATAGGTAACAAAAAGGGCCTTCATATTATCATCTATTTTTTCTTCAATTCTTGAATTTTTTTAACAAAATATTTATTAATCAATGCAAACTTTTACAAACCTTACGCATAATTAGATTAAATATAAATTAAAAGCGCTTCCAAAAAAAATTGGAAAAATATTACTTCGTCAGTTTTATGTGAGACGCTAAAATCATGATTTTCAAAGAATTGTTCCATTTTCTAAATATTAAAGCACCTCATCCATAACAATTTGAATGGGGATCTGTTTAAACAGAAAAATATGAAAATTGAAACATATCTCGAAAAGTCGAAGAGTTAGGTAATTAAAAAAGGGAAGCACGGATCCCAAAGATTTGATACAATTGACAACATTCTAACACTGAAAATATTT